TTAANTANAGANATANCGAAAGACANATACCAGGATGAGCNCACAAGCAAGCAANANGAACAACTAATCACGAACCNGTACAGGAACTCTGCGTCGAGCGACGCAGCCTCTAGGCGTCGGTCGACGCACAGCGTCTGCGTCGAGCGACGCGCCACCCTGGCGTCGATCGACGCGACATCCACAGAAACGAGCCTATCCTCTCGTGGACTCGAATCCGTCGCGATTTATCGAGTCACCTGCACGATCCCAGTCACAGAACACACGAAAACAACAATCAAACGCATTCCATCTATCCCTATGCCCACANAACCCACGATCACGCACTCACCTCGAAGAATCGAAATGAAAAGAATGAACCGATGTTCACTAAAACCCTCGTACACGACGAACCACTGGTCCAATTCCGAAACAGCTAACTGTTCTGGAAACTACACAAACACAGCTACGCGTCGATATATGGATCGCCTCTAGACTCCCTCTGGTTCGATCGGAAATCCCCTCCGAACCCGACTGATCGCAGATAACAATCTGCACGGACCCATCAAGTTCAAATGGCCATAACTCGGTGAACAATCAACCAAAACACAAACCGTTTTCGCCTATAATACGAGCAGAGATTGGAGAACTTACCCCCCAAAAATCACTCCAATCCGCCTCGAAAAGCCCCGCCGTTTGCCCTCTCAAAGTTCCGATTCGAAACTGTCCCTCTCACACATCACCTAGATTCCTCTCTCAAACCTTTTCTCTCCGATTATTTTCCCAAAAGCGTCCAAACAGACCAACACACAGCTTCCCCATCTGTTTTTATACTAACCCTAGGGTTACCCTAACCAACACGCAAACCGTGCGATCAAACCCGACTTTCCGGTCTGATTAAAGATTTGCGTCGCTCGACGCACCTCCCTTGCGTCGATCGACACAACACCCAGAAACCGACTCCTCGCGAGTCCAACTTCGTGTGTTGATCGACGCACTCCCCCTGCGTCGATCGACACACCACCAAAAATCACA